GCAAGCTTGTAAGCAGTGATAGTCTGTGGTCTGTACTGTAAGTTGTTGCCTTGGTCTCCCTCAGTGATAGACTACAGCCTGTAGGTTAAAACAAACCCTTTCTTCCCCATGCTGCTTTTGGTCATTGTTTTATCATAGCCATAGGGAGAGACACTAGATCAGCAATGATGAGAAACTCTTCGATTCTTCGAGTCTTTTCTCAATAGAAGGACTCCCTTATCTTATTCTTTGTATAAGAAAAAAATAAATGAAAAGAATTTCAAGGGCCAAGGGTAAGAAAAGAACTTGTGGCCACATCTTTAATAGGACAGACTCACAGCCAATCAAGTTGCACAGTACTCATTCTGAGTTGAGATGCCAACATAGTAGTTCCTTTGTCCAGTCTATCCCTAACACCAATCCCAAAGTATCTGCTGGGAAAATGTTCTTTATGTGGATGCCTCTTAAATAAACACTTATCTCATCAAGGGGTGAAGACATCAAAATGTATTTCACTCTAGATTCTGGAAGGATAGCTTTTGAAGCAGTCATTTTGATAAGGATACTAGGAACAGCTAAATCCTTGTGATGTTATTACACAAATCCCTTTTATGGGATTGTCAGTGCAGCTTGAAATATACAGAAAGGCTGGCTATCCATGCTACAAAACTTATGACACTAAATAATTACTCAAGAGAAAGGCAAGAAGATACACATGTAATAAGTTCAGCAGGATACTCTCTGGTGTCAGGTTAGGAGAAATGATCAGGAAATGGATGCTGAGACATTCGGAATGACAGAAGGTCACATCTGAGAGACAGTCCTATACTGACACTTCCTGTAGCCCTGCTGACCACATGCTCCTCTGGCTATAAGCATTAAGACTCTCCAAGAAGCTAAAGATAACAAGAAATAAGGACAATTTAGCTGCCAGAAGACAGGCCAGACAGAAGGGCCAGAGCTCTCACAAAACAGCCTGACTTAGTCAAGGAGAGAAGACTTTCCCCAGAACAGGAAAAAATAAACAGAGTTTGTTTTCTTCAAAGGAGCTAGGAAGGACAAAAGCAGGAAGTGTTGGCCTTCCTCCATTCCTCAGGTTCTCAGTGGAGAGCCAAAGGTGTGCATCAATCATGTCAGGGCAAGAGAGAGGAAAGGGACAACGTCTTCTAGAGTAGAAAGGAAACATGAAACTGTATCACCCAACTCACTCCTCTGTTCGGTCTTTCAAAGAGTCCAGTGCATAAGATGCAATCAGGTAATTCCTATTGAGAGAACCTTATACATGTGAATATGACCTCTGTTTAAACTTCCTGTAGGCTTCTTGCTCCTTAGTACTCAAGGTAGCCTATTGTGCTGGGGAAAAACAAAAACAAAAACAAAACGTACAACAACAAAAACCTATTTGTTTCTTCCAAAGATTTTGGGTTCCTATGAAATGGGTACTTACTAGCACCCCCCACACACACATTCCACAAACATACACCCAGTCATTTCTTTGCTATGATTACTAAAGTGTACCATATATTTAAATATTTCATTGTCAAATATAGAGACTCTAGATACTTGCCAGATAGCTTTAAGAGAATTAATACTAACCATATGTCCTTCATATTCTGAATAAGATAAAAACAATGAGAACAAATAACTTATTTTCATTTATAATCTCATAGTTATACAATTAATTTAATATGTTCCCTGGTGGGCTCAGTCAATGATGTAATTCTGGAACAGAAATTGAATTTTACTAAAGTCTATTAAATGAGAACAAAATAATGTACAGACACTGTCTTGCTTATAGATCTGATGGGCTATAAAATTGTGTTTTGTACTTATTATTTTGGATCCCAGAATAGTAAATATATTGTTTAAAAGGTGTGGTTGTTTTGAGCCAACCCCTTGGAAATTATAGCTATAGTGAAATATAATATTCACACTCCTATCAAGGAAGGGATGCTCCAGAAGAAACAATTGGAGCTAATGATACTGAGAACTTACAAATGGCCAGAGATGATCCCAAGAGCTTTGTATGTATCACCTCTTTTAATCCTTACAAAAAACATCATCCAGTTTAGAAGAATAACCTCAGAGTGATCTGGACAGCTCCCAATCACACAGAGAATACAGAAATGGAATTGGAGGAGCTATGGACGCCAGAGACTACTCCAGGTGTTAGGAAACCTCCGTCTCTCTTCCATTTCTTTGAAGGAACTTGAATGTATTATGTAACTATGCTTTTAGTTTAGAAATTCAGAGACAAACATATTTGAATTTTTAAGAATTACATTATTCAATTCAAATTATATGTGTAATTGTTTTTTTTTTAATTTTTAAAAAATCTTTTGAATTGCAAACTCAAAAGTACGTATTTCTTTGCTTCTTGCCTAGGGGAAAAAAGAGGAAAAGCTTCTAGAAGATGGAATTAGCCTTGGAGTCAGGAATTCCAGAGGATATATGGGAGAGAGCTGAAGGAGTTATGAGATAGTGATGGAGGATTCTGAGGATTTAAGCAACCAGTGAGAGCTTTGTCACTTGGGTTCTCTTACAATAAGGGATGGTGGGAATGTCTTTCTTTAACATAGAGTTTTATTCCTTCCAGAATCATAGTTCACTGAAAGGACAAATTTTCCTTTTATCTGAAATATGAGCATAGTCTCCCTGAGGCTTTAGGATAATTTTCATCTGTGTCATCCTGAGGAGTGAATGATAAGGAAACAGACTTTAAGTGTTCATATACATAATAACTCTTTTTATTGTTGCTTTTCAACTTTGATCCTCCTAGAGGAATCTTGGGGATAAATAAAAGATGAGGAACCCTCTACATTTCAGAGGACAATATTTGGACTTTGGTCTTCATCTCTCTTGGGAGAGTCAGATCTTCTGGGAGAAGATGAGGCAGCATTTCAGGTCTGCCTTAGAAAATGGAGAAGAGTAGAGGGCCTGGAGCAAGGCTCATATCCTTGTGGCTTATACTTTGCTTCTGCCTCTTTGTTTCTTATTTATTTATTTATTTACTTATTTATTTTTAAAATTATTTTAAAAATTAATTTTACATACTTTATTGTTAAAAAACATAAATAGATAAAAAAAATCACATACTACAATTAGCCAGATCCAAAGTCTATGCAACGTAATAAGTACTGATCCAGGTAGAAAGGCATTCAGAATGACTGTGCAGCTTCACTGTGAAGCTTAGACTCAAATGTCTTATATACATATCCACTCCTCAAACAAAACAAAACAGAAGCTCATGACAGACTTAGAAAACTAATAAAAGGCAGCTTGTTATTTTTTATATAACTTATATCCCTCTGACTAAAAAGAGAACTTTTTGTTTTAATCATCCTTTTCTAGAATTCCTCACAAATCTACCGCCTCTACCTCTGTAACTATCCAACTTACTGTCTTCATCCTCGATTCTCCTCTTTTCTTCCTCCTCTTTCTCCTCTTCCTATTCTTCTACCTCCTCCTTCTCCTCCTCTTCTTCTTTAAAGGCCCAACAACTCTAATTTCTGTTGCTCCAAATACTCTTGGCTATAGGGCTAACTCCTGGATCATGGTTGTTCTACTGTGATCACATCCTTAAATAAAGCTTATTCTCCTTCTCCCAGAATCCACCAGTTGGCAATAGTTATTCAGCTATGGGTAAAATTTCCTGCCCACTCACCACTTCATGAGAGAATTTTGTTTAGCTTTAACTCGTATAGGTCTTGTGCATGCTGTTGTAACTGCTGTAACTGTTCTATTTTGTTCCAAAAACACTGTTTGGTTGTAATCACCCAGTGATTCTGACTCATGTAGTCTTTCTGCCCTTCTCTTCTGCAATGTACCCTGAGCAGTGTGTGTGACACAGATGTCTCATTAGGAGCTGAGGACTCTGAAGTCTCTTATTCTCTGGATGCTGAACAGTTATAGCTCTCTGTGTTAATCATCATCTGCTACAGGAAGCAGCTTCTTGATGCGAGTTGAGAGTGGCACTGATCTGTGGGTATAGCAATAAACTGTTAGCAGTTTAATACTATGACCACTTAGTAGAATAACAGTAGTAAGATTTCCCCTAAGGTTTATGAACAACAAGGTTCTAACAGTACCAGGTCTGTATTCTTTCCTGTAGATTAGAACTTAGTCCAATCAGAAAGCCTTTGGTTACTCCTAAACCATTCACCAGAGAGTGTATTTTGCAAGGTCAGTCATTATTACAGCTCACAGGATCACAGACAGGGAGGACTGTTGATGGCTGTGTTTCTCTGACAGCATGCAGAACACCTTCTAGAGCTATGGGAGCTAGTCAGTAGAACAGCCTAGTTACTACCAAATTGATTTCCCATATTCTGTCACTCCAGTATATGCCATCTTAAGTAACAGGGTCTTACTGCCAGGTTCTGGAGGTTAGCCAAGCGTAATGGTAGTTCTCTGTAATGTCTGTGGGTCTATGTAGTCCCTGGTCAGCAACTCCTATAGTCAGAATGACCAACATAAAAAAGTGACAATAAATGCTGGAATATATATGGACAAATAGGGGTACTTATTCATGGCTGTTGGGAGTGAAAACTGTTACAGACCCTACTGACCTCAGTGTGGAGCTTCCTTTAAAAGATAGAAAAAATATCTATTATATGATCCAGCTATGATCCACTCTTGGGTATATACTCAAAGGACTCCATATTACTACAGAGATCCCTGCCCATCTATGTTAACTGATGCTCTAGTCAAAATATCCACAATGTGTGTACAGGCTAGATGTCTACCAACTGTTGAATAGATAATGAACATATAGGGTATTTGCACAATAGAATATTACTTATCTGTTAAGAAAAACAAAATTGTGAAATTTTCAGGCAAATGATTGGAACTTATAAATAAAAACATCACACAGTATCATCTTGAGTGAGATAATCCAGAAAAACAAATGTCACATGTTTTCTCTCATATGTTGATGATAGCTTTACATTTTAGCTCTGAATATTAACTTTACAACATCACAGAGCATTAAAAGCTCCGAGAGACAGAGGTTTGAACATTACCAGCTCTCGGGGTAGGAAGCTCCCTTCTTGGCGGGCAATGACTAGTGATACCATCTCTCCCTGCTTGGTGCTCCTTAGCATGGCCACGAGTTCTTCCTGGGTTCTTCCTGTGACATCCCTGCCATTTACCTAATGAGTAGAATCATATTCACGTCACAGTTAGAACACTTCCCATCACCTTTTCCCCTGCTTATGTGAGACAGGTATTGATTGTTATATAGCCCAGGGTATTGTGTAGCCAAGGCTGTCCCTGAACTTATATATTTCTGGCAGAGCTCTTAAGTGCTGATATTGTAGACATGTGTTATTACATACAGCTCAGCTCCTAAGTGTTTTTTTTCTTGTTTTTCTTTTTTTAATGACCTATGTTGTGAATTAAGTATGGAATAAATGCAATGAAGCTCTAAAAAGATAATACTAAACACATGGACAAACACACACATTTTCAATAATACAATGGCTATCCTAATTTTGATACATTGAATTACTTTATATTTGCATTTTTTCCCTAAGTCATCACATTTTTCACAAAGGAAAAAAAATAAGAGTGAGAAGTGCCAGAAAGTAATTAGTCAGGTAGGTATGAAGTGGTTTGCCATATACCAGGCAGAAGTGAATTACTTACCATATGGCAAATTACTCTGGAAATATACATGTTTTGGTGAAATCCTAAATGTTCTTTTTGTCTAGAAAAGTGCTGCCAGCATGTTACCATAGGTTATTGGAAGTCAGCTCAGAGGTTCGTTTGTCAGTCTGAGCATCTTTTGTGATCTAGAACTACATGGAATGCTAAAATGTTCCCACAATGTGTATTCTAAGGAATGAAGTCTTGAAAGCATCTTTTCATGCCACAGGAGATTTAAAACCGGCCAGCTTCAAACAAGATTTCTCTCCAGGTTGACTGACCAGAGCTCCTTAGTGAGAGGAGGATATTATCGACAGAAATACATGGGAGAGAAAAGCCTCATATTTGGAGTATTCTAAATACTTTTTCATGCCAAACCAGCTCAGCATCTCTATTCCTGGCTCAGTACAAGAAATACTGATTTTGGTTTGGCAGTATCAATAATACACCTCTCAAAGTTTTGGAGAAACTACTGTGAAGACTTGTATAAGATTTTGAAATTGATAGCCCCAGCTCAGTATTTATCAAATTCCTAGATTAATTCATATATCACTGGTTAAAGAAAGAAGGAGTTTTAAAAAAAAAGATATTATTGAGAACCACATTTCTGACCTTCTTTGGACATGCACAGTTAGGCTCTTCATTAACCAGTTTTATAATTGAAGTCATTATCTTGTCTACAAGTAATAATTTTCAATATATGTTAAATTAAAAATTAAACATTAATATATAGTCAGCCCTCAATATCTGTGAATTTAATAGTAGAAATTTAATCAACTTCAGATAAAAATACTGAAAAAGCTGCATTTGTGCTGAATATAAGCAAACTTTCTTTTCATCAGTTTTTAAGCAAGACTGGATAATTGTTTATGTGGAATATATATAAATATATATGTATATACATATATGTATATACATATATATTGTTAAAACTTTAGAAAGATGATAGACACACTTTCCTATGACTACCACCAGTAAGTCTTTCAAATACATGACCTTTTAACTCATTAATTGTGATATTTTTTAATTATCCTTTTTGGAAATTAACTCTCCATTTTTTTAAAAAAAATATTTGTTTTATATATGTGAGTATACTGTCACTGTCTTCAGACACACCAGAAGAGGACATCAGAGCCCATTACAGATGGTTGTAAGCCACCATGTGGTTCCTGGGAATTGAAATCAGGACCTCTGGAAGAGCAGTCAGTGTTCTTAACCACTGAGCCATCTTTCCAGTCACCTTTCCCTTCATTTTAAATATCTTAATTTTTATATCTTTCTCATCCTACCATGTCATCAACCTAGAGTTCACATCACTATCCTCCCACATAAATACACATTATAACCAGAGATCTGTATTGGGCATCATCATAGCTACTTCTATGTCTATGTCATCTATGTCTATATCTATGTCTATATTGATGTCAATGTCGATGTCTATGTCTGTCTAGGTCTATATCTATATCATCTACTCTCTTTCTCTCTCTATTTCTTTCTTTATCTTTCTAATTTATGCATGAAATTCCTAACTATAATCTACTCAGTCTGAACTAAGTGATAATTTAAGGTATCATTTATTTGCAAATGCAATGCCAGTTAACATATAGGAGTTGGTCATCTGCAGTTGTTAGTATTTGAGGGTGGTACTGGACCAACAAGGGACAGCAACTGACATAAACACATATTTATCTATTTATTGCTTAACTATAAACAAATATCTTATTGCATAAATTAACTTCAATTCTTACCTCTAAAATCCTGTCCCCTGATTGTAGGCGGCCATCCTTTACTGCTGCTCCCTTTGGTAAGATGTTTTTTACAAAAATGGGACCAGGACCATGTAGAGAAGAATCTCTAGTTACCACAGTGAAACCAAGTCCTTCAGGGCCTGGAAGGCAAGACCAGAAAAATTCACTGTCACTTTAAACATGGGTAACATTACACTCACTCCTTTAGTAAACTCTACCTAGTTTATATAAAAATATACAAAGTAAATTATTTACAGTCCTGTAAATTTTACATAGGCTTTAGTTGTCTCATTTTAAGTAAAGATTACAGTTCCTAACAGGCAATGGTACATCAAAGTGAAGGTAGGATCCACTATATATACATAATACTTTTGTTTACTCGGGTTCTAGAAGACAGCACATGTCATCCGTATGCCCAGAATATTGATTCTACTGTAATCTACCTCATGACTTCATCTTCTCTCCCAAGCAAGTGACCTCCCTGTTGGGGTTTTGTGGGTGTCTCCATCAACTGAGTAGTTTGTGACTCAGACCTTGAAATGTATCCTGATTGCTTTACTGCAGTTTTGTTTCCAAGGTTTTCCTGTCCCCTTCTAGTTTTCGTCAATCCTCAACTTCTCCCTTCTACTGTCCAAAGATATGTGTAGATTTCTCAACACTAAATAATCTGTACTTTATTATTAGTGTTTCTTGAAGCTTCTATCATAAATAAAGTACTGCTGTTTGGATAAGATTCCTGCAAAGACCATACTCTCCAGCCTGTAGCATCCTGGGATACAGTATAAACTTTAGGGTATGGGGCTTAATAGAAGGATGCTAGGACATTAGGGGTATTCCATAAAAGGAGTTATGGCCCAATTGACCCTCATGTCTCTCTCTCTTTTCTTCTGGGCTTCAGGAGGCCTGATATATCATACATTCTCCTCATGCTACACTGCTTTGTCATAGGTCCAGAAGTAATGTGCAAACAAGTCCTGGACTGAATCTTCCAAAATCATGAGCCCAAATCAACCTTTTTTCCCACTTAATATCCCTTTTTAAAGCTTTAGGAAGTTGATAGACTTACTTTCCTATGACCATCACCAGTTAGGTTTTTCCATACATGACCTTATTTCTTAACAATCTTTGATGCTTTCTAATTATCATTTTCAAAAATTAATTCTCTCTTTATTTTTCATATCTTTATTTTCATATCTCTCTCATCCCACCATGTCTGTCAACCTAGAATTCACACCACTGTGCTCACACATAAACACACCTGATGCCCAGGGATCTGTATTGGGACAGTTTCTCCTGTTATCCTTACCTCAATCAGATCTGGGAGTTACAGCTATCATCATCTCATTATACAGTGGAGCTAGCATCTGTTTGGTTCATTTGTCCTCTCTCCTCTCACCTCTCCATCCTTCTATGTCTCTGTACCTCTCCCTCTTTCCTGAATAGTTCAAACTTTGCTGTTTCTCCTTCAATCCAGACCCTACCACTATCAAATATCCTCATCTACTTAAAATTTGAATTTCAACCAATGACATTTTCAGTATACAAACTGCCTTGGCTGAAACTAGTTTTGCCTCAGCTAAAACTGTAATTTTTCTTTCTTCTTTTCTAAAACCATTTATCTAGTAAGGAGTGTCTGTTATAGCTTTCACATTTAGGCAGAGGCAATACACCCATCTGATCAGCTCTCTTCTTTAGGACATCTCACGACTCTGTGCCTGATTCATCTCTCTATAGTCTCTATAGTCTATATCTACCTCATGTACATAGCTGGGTTATTGGTACATAATAATGCATTTGGATATGGCTAATTTATAATGCAGTTACAGACAAGTATATAAAACTCTGTGCCTTCTTCTCAACCCACTTTATTCTCAGGATAAGATTTTTGTAAGTGAATAAAATTTTGATTGGAGATATCTTCTCAGAATATTTTCTACATTCTAATGAAAGATACATATTATTTGTTTCTGAAATTCACAAATAATATTTAAAAGTTTTTTGGTGGTCATTAAATTATTAATTCAGTGGAAAAACCCTATTAGAGTCTTTGAGTTGGCTTAAAAACCACAGGACTTCAGAAAGTTATGATGGGATGAAGGAATATCAGGCAGAATTCAGAATAAACAAGAGCATACAGTACATGAATACATGAACACACGGGCACGTGTGTAATGCTGTAGTCATGCATGCACACACGTGGCCCAGTATAAGTGCTTTGTGCTGAAAATGGGCAAAAAAAATAGAAAAAGATTAAGAAAAGTTTAATTCAGTTTTGAAAGTAGGACTATCTTGAAGAAATATAATATTGAACCTTTAATTAATAATCATTATCTGTTGTCTTTGTGAAGAGTAAACCTTGTACTAATATAAAACCATTCAAGAGAGTCAAAGGCCATATTGTGGAACTGGCCCTAAAGGATGGTTTAAAAAAAAAAAAAAACCCGACTTACACTCACAATGAGGATAATTAACCTCACGCCTACTCAATGCTGAGTGGCCAGGTAATGCGGTGTGGCTTTTTATCAAGTCTGCACTGACTCTCTCTATTCCTTGTGCTTGTCACTGTCTTCTTGTCTCGAATCCTCACAACATTGGAGGAGAAAAGATGAAGAAAGTACTACAGTTTTAAGAATGTAAGTTATCCAAGTATACACTCAAATCTATTCTTTGATACAATGAAATAAAAAGAGAATTAAGTAAATTAACCTTAATGCATGTCTCTTAACCAGTTTTACAAGGTACAATAATAGAGCATTATTAAGCATAATTTAATAATTACCTTTCTTTAGGTCAATCTTAATTTTTTTTGCATTTTTCTTGCTGCCAAACCCCATGAGAGGGGAGAGTGAGGGAGAGGAAGGTTTTCTTCCTAGTCTTGGAACTCGGGGGCTCTTGCTTTGCTGTGGGGAAGCTGACTCTTCTCCTTCAGGGCTGTTCGCTCTTGTTAGATTTACTGCCTTTAGTCCTGGTTTCCCACGGGCAGGAGGTGGTGCCTTTGTTCTTGAAGCCCCGTCATTGCTGCCAAAAATGTTCAGTGGTCCAATGACTGATTTTTCATATTGTTCACGGTTTTGAGGCAGAAGCACATGGAGGACCACACTGGGAGATTTCATTGCTTGACGGAAGACATCTTGGGCCCTTGGATGAGTGAATAAACAGAATCATACAGTGTTCTGACATAGCACTTTCCGAGGTACCCAGGTATGGGGAACAAGCAGAGTAGCCTGGTATCATAAGTACAGGAGGCAGTAAATCTCTATGGTATGACTCTGCTAACTAGTGATCAGCTATTTACTACCTGCCCACCAAGGTGCTTCTACGCTGGTTACACGTGCATGATGACTATGTACAATCCTCTAGTTTATTTTTTTTAACACCTACATAAAGTAAATATAATTTTCTTGCTTTTAACAAGTTCAAGTGGAACCTCAGAGTGACGAAAGAACTAAGCAGACAACTCTTAGCTTTCAAGTGTTTTTAAATATGAAAATCTAACCCGAAGTACCGAAGCACATATTAAAAGCAAGCTTAAATCCTTCTCATTTTTAAATCAGGTTATTGATAGGATGTTTTTACTTGACACCAAGTTGGTTTTGACTCAATGCTAACATTTTATGAATCTGTTTCTACTTTTATAAAACAGAGATCATCAAAATGCCTAGCCTTTGCAAAACAGAACAGCAAAATATGCAAATAACATAATTATTATTAATTACCATAATTCAGTCAACAGTAGTTGAATGGATTGATTGCTTTAGGAAGATGTCATTTCATTCTACCCCTAAGCAGCTCCTACTATTGGAAAGTAGTAGCCTGAGAGATGCTGTCTAGGAACAGTTTGGCTCAGAAGCAAGATAGGCTGTTGATTGTCAGTGAAGATATCACCACTTACCTTCCTAACTTAGAAGCCCTGTCGAATTTCAATGTACATCAATATATATGTGTGTGTATGTATGTATGAATGTATGTGTGTATATATGTATGTATGTATATCTAGATGTCTAGTGCATTCTACCTATTCCATCTCCTGTGTAGAAACATGTATTCCCCATAATATTATCCACATTCAGAAAGATGATTTCTTGAGGTAGAACATTTTAATTTTATTTTTTACAATATGTTTCTATTATTTGCTGAGGCCTCATTGGCACTACCCACAGGATTTTACAGTTTAGGGGATACTGACATCAAGGATGTTAATTAATAAGCTGAGTTAACTGTCTGTGAAAAGAGCCAGTAAATACCAGTCTCACTGACCCATGGACTAAGAGAAACAAACCCCTCCATTCATGGATGGCCAGAAAGACACTGAGGCAGGAAGGCTTGCTGCATTCTATGGCTCAACCTCCCTACAGACATCAGGCACATGTGTTGGCCACCTCTCAGTACGTTAAAACTTCAAATGCATTCAGAAATGGATGGTCAGGGGTCATTTAAAGGGAATTGGCTTGACATTCCATCTATGATTTTGATCATAATGAGTTTGGCAATGATTATAAATATTTAAGAGATCAAAAAAGTCAATAAAAACATGCTTACTGAGCAAACGTTTTGTCCAGGAGTTCCACATTGTTGATTTTTACAATGCATTCATTCTCCTGAAATAGTCCTTCCTGCTTGCACCTGCTGTTTTCTTCGATGCCTCGAATGAAGAGTCCTAGGATCCTAAGTGAAACATTTAGGTTGAAATAAAACATCTGAGTACCAATGTACTCATTATTGCTCCTCTTGCAGCTATTCAGTTAGTTTCTGTTTACTAAACAGAGTATGTTTCTATTCAGCCAAATGGTCCACCATTCAAATTTACACACAACCACACACTAGACAATCACACACCAGACACACACACACACACACACACAAACACACACACCTCTACCTGAAGACAAATATCCTTATCATAAATACCAACTCATTTCTTTGTTTGCCTTGAACTTAGAAAAGATCAGTACAGATCAATAAAGAATATACCACACAAGACAAGAAGTTTGACTAGAGGCATCATAGTTAACTGTAGGGAAGTCTGCTTGAGTGGTAACACAGAAACTTGGGGCTGATAATGGGAGAGGACTGTTTCACGGTCTTATTATATGTTCTAGCACTTTGCATTTTAAAAAGTAAATGAACATTTCAACTCAGACCCTATTATTCATAAGGAACATCCATGTGCCTCTGAATCAAGTCTCTGCTAGGTGTTTTCTCCATCCTCAGGATAGCCAACTGAAGTAAAGTTGGAGGACCACACCTACATAAATTCAGTATATTTAGTCCACAGTTGATGACACACACTGTGATTGAGAATCTTGTGGACACAGATTCTGGTATTCACATGCAGGCTGTATATGCACATGTGTATATGTGTGTTTACATATGCAAACTTTATTACTCTCATAAAACCAAAACTAAATCTACTACAGGAAATGAAGCCTTTCCAGACTTTAGTCATTCCTCACTTTGGTGAAGTCCTTTATCTTTGTGGCATGGCACAGGTCTCACTGGGTGTCACACGGAGAAGCAGTGATCAGCTTCCGTAGGAATCTGCTGGAAGTGGAGAAACTACTGCCTCCATGCTCCCTGTCTGCTTGATTATTCTATTCAGTCACTCTCTTTTGAAGAAAGTCTTGTGTGCTATATTACAGAGTCCCTTTGTGTTAAATTTCAAATCTAAATAAAATATGAGCAGATTTTATATGTGAATAATAAGGTCAGCCATGCAAAAAGGGCACCCTGTAATGAAAGCACAAGAAAAAGTGGTTTGCCTGTTTAGAGTAGCCACAAAATTGAGCCTCTGCCTCAGTCCATTAATGAGCACAGCAGACCTCCAGATATCAGTGGGCAGGGTGCTCACAATGATACTCAGATTCCTCCTTCAGAATGTTAACTGATCAGAGTGTGCTGCTGCTGGGCTAATGGTAGTCACACCAGCTACTGTAAGGAAGGGCTCCAGGTCATCTGGGCAAGGGTAGGCAGGATCTCAGCTTTTATCCCCGAATTCCAGAACTTTACTAAATTAACCAAACATAACAGGAACTTCCTTTCTTAGTACAGTGCTAAAGTGAAACTCTTTGATATGAAAAAGGGGGGATTAGATTGAAATCGTGCTCTCTCCTAAATTAAACTGCTCTCTGATGGTTCACAGTTTAGTTTTGTTACGGTGGCTCCCCATAACACAATCCATTAGAAGGCGCACGTGTGGTTAAAACCAGTTTATGTAAGTGATATTTTTTTAACAAGCATTCAAGTCTTCCTTTAATTTAATTCAGTACATCATCAGTCATGTAATGTTACTCCCTAGGATTTAATTTCACATTTTGGGAGATGAATTAATTCTTTCGGGCCACTGGGTTGCAATTTAGCTAGCATATTACAGCTGGAGCATGCTACGTGAACCTCACTGATCTAAATAACCTAACTTTCCATGAAAAATTTATTGACAGAATAAGCCCAACTGTAAAGCCTGTGTGTCAGAGGTAATTTTGGTAAAATGTAAAACTGACTGATTTCATTAGTTTGGTCCCCAGCAACAAACGCATCCAGTCCTGCCCTCTCTATTATCTGGAAGTAGTAAATTCCCTGCAGTATGATGTCACCTCTTCCACTGTGGGCAAGCGTATAAACCACTATTTACTTTTACTTACTGGTGGTGATAGCTGCCTTATTTGAGATAAAAACTTATCAGACCTAACAACTAATACTGTGATGCAATCACAGGGTAAGACTACCAGTTCATCAGCAGTGTTAAAGGATGCTAAAAATTCAGTCGCCCCGTAGGTTAAGAGGAGCAACAACTATTTCTTGCTCATGGAATCATTACTTAAGACTCTAGTACCCAATCCTTGTCCAGCCCTGTGCTCCCACTGAATCCTGAGGCTTCACCATCTTGCTAGCCCACCACTAATCACTAAAACTCTCCTCTCCTCACATTCTCAATCTTTTCCTGTCTATTTCACCTTTAGCTGTTTAACTGTCTTTACTATGAAATAGAAGTGTATTTTTAGTGAAAAAATTTTAAAATTTAATTAAGATAAAATTAACATCTTTGTCAGTTTGTTTAAAAGGACTTAGTGTGTTGTGCTTATTTTCTTTCCTTAAAAAACAAAAACAAACCCAAAGAACCTCAAAACAACAAAAATGAGAAAGCCAATGGCCCTCAACACGAGCTGTATTCAGCATCCCCTGCTCTGGTACCTAATGAGTGCATATGGACTTTAGCTGATACAGTAGCCAGAGTAAGTGTCTCATTCAGTAACAGGTGTGGCAATCATTGTTTTTTGTAATGAAAAAACAAAACACTTGCAGCAAAACCAATTACAGTAGTCTTAATAAAAAATTAAATGTAAATTCTAATTTAAAATAATGAGACAAACTAATAAATGGAAGGAAATTAAGAGCTAAGCATACCACTGTGACCCAAGCAAGTCCCGTGCTCACATAGTGTGACCAGATGGCAGCATGAAGGCAGATACTTGTCTGACATGCTCCACAGGCAGCTCCATCAGGACACATGGCTTGCGTTAAGAGTGCTGTTTCAGCCTGGACTCATTACCTCTTAACTTTTATTGGCTCGTGTCTCCACTTCCACATGATTTTTAATGTATGTTTTAATTAAATTTCCTTTTTATAACAGTAGTAGATACTAAAAATATATAATAGAACCACTTTTTCAAGTTACTGTACAGTTGACAATGAACTTATAATGAAACCTCATTTGTAAGTCAGGCTGTTTTTATTTTATTCAAAATAATCATCATACTGACAATTTATGCATTCATGGGTTGTGGGCTTTACAAGGAGATATCACATTTTTAATGTCACTTAATCCCTATAACCTTGATGGAAAGTCTATTTGTCACTACAGATGAGTATAGGGTACTAGCTGGAGGTTATGTGAAGAGAACACTGGGATTAATTCCTTTGAGGACAAGTCAAATTCTCTTTCCACCCCTCTTCTACACTTGTCCTGGGAATCAAAACCCCACAGAAAAACAGGGAAAATCAATACAGTCTGGTCTATTGCCCTTATTTGAAGTGAGAGAAGGTGATTTCCCATCTAGAGGGCCAGCTTCTTTTCTCAGCTATTGAAAATGAAGGATGGTGACTGTCACTGTGGATTTTTTTTTTCATTTTGGGGAATTACAAAGATCCTATGTTCTATTCCAGGTTCATTAAACTAAAGGGCCTGGTAATTTAAACACTCTGGTATTTCACAAAGCTCTATCAGCACACTTCTGCCAAAAGCCATTAGGATTCCTCACGGGAACTGAATAAATACTCACCTTGTCTGTCAAAAACAACCCTGGTCTGTCCTTTGCCGTAACCCATAACATATATAAACACGCTTATTAACACACACAGGAAACTAGACAATAAGAGCCACTGGCTTTTCAGTTCATTTCTTTTTAGAGACCGTTCATTCCAGCAGGAGCTTGGCATCAGATGTTATATGGGAGAAAAATAAGGTGATGTCTTTGCAATTACAGGTAGCAGATGGCTACCTGCGAAAGATGGTGCCAACCCAAATATCATGACTGAAGCTGCTTGTCCTTTGATACGGCCAACTGGATTGAGTAAATATCCAGAGCCAGTAAATTAATACTATATAACCTTTGGGGAAATTGTGGTTCTAGAAAGAGCAGTAGAATGAGAACAAGTCAGAGATCACAGTTTAGAGGGACTATGAGGGCAGAAAAAATAAATCAATGGACTTATCTGATCCTTGATATATTAGTCTAAAATAAAATGCTCTTACTTTTAAATGATCACTTAAGAAAGTGGATTTAGGCTATTGGTTATAATCATGCCCTGTTAGTGAAAAGCTGATTTTCTTCAAGGGTTCTGGGAAACCTTGTTAGGACCTGGGGAGTGCTATAGGCAGCCATCTTCTTGAAGGTGGTCCACACTTACCAGCAGTTCCATAAGGTCATTAGCCTAGCATTATGCCAGCTCTGTGGCACATACATTTTCATTCTCATCAGCAAACCAGATTTTATATCCAGTCAGATGTGGATTTCAAAAAAACATTAACACACAATCTAAGTTAGCATTTGCCAGTATAGATTTATCAGCAAATGTCTTTAAATTTCTAAGAGAATAAAATGAATAGTCTTCACTGACCTGAACTGTATCTCAGAAAAAAACAATAACAATAAGATAAATTTTTCAATAACTAAATCACTGTGTGTGTGGCCAAAAAGCTACTAGAATGCAAATACTTATTATTCATATATGTGTGTATGTGTGTATGTTTGTATGTTTGTATGTATGTATGCATGTATGTATGTATGCATGTATGTATGTATGAAGAATTTGGAATTACTATCTTCATTCATTGAAGACTATTTTATAATGCTAAAAAACACTCAGTTATGACATTTGTCTAACAATATGTTAAAATCTTTTCGAAGAAGCCTGTTTACTGTTCTTCACTCTCAAGGATGCTCCAAGAAAGTACTTCATAATTAATTGTAAGTAGGAAAATTGGGATGATTTTTTCTTTTCTTTTTCTCTGCATCCTAGAAATAAATGATTTTAGTCTGTTTCTAAAGCATGATTCCAACCAAAGTATTACTTAAGGAGTCTATCTGAATATGTGGATTCCCACTTAACTCTTTCCTGGAATAGGCATTTGTCAGGGTTTTCATTGACACATGCTTCTGAAACAAGGAAAACTGCTTACCGTCCACTCAGGGATGAAAAGAAGGGCACCACATGGATTCCCAGGGGGTCTCCTTCCCCAGAAATCTCCACGGCTCTTGTCATATCACTGAGGCAGAGCAAAACAGGAACACCAATAAGTCTGAGGTAAAAACCAGATGAGATACATTGACTCATCACAATACCCTCTCTGACTTTATCGACTGCTGTAACTGTGATTTAGGTCACAGGAGTGTAGGGCTTGCTGGTGTGTGCAGAAGATCCATAAAAGAAACATGTTAAAGACTCCCTAATTTCCAATTTGAATCTTTATGGAAAACCGAAAGTTGGAAAAGAACTAACTCACTGCTAAAACAGCTTCCCACTTAATCTGCAGAAATCAACAGAGATAAAAAGAGTTTCACAGAACAAAATCTCTCCCTAATGAGACTTTCTTGAAAGCGACTGTACAGACCATAAACACACAGAAATAACTCTAGGTACATTTAGCCTTGAAGTTAGGGTTTTCTCCCCAGAAAAGGGAAAACATGGGATAAAAATATTTATTAGAAAAAGCACTGGATTGCAGTTTATAATGCCAAGGAAGCCACAATTGGTAACACAGTTGGGCATGTTCAAAGCAATATAAATCAAAGCTTGCATCAGTTGGACTCAATGGAACAATTCCAAGTTTTCACCTTCCTGTTTATTTATTTATTTCTATATTTAAGGCAGAAAGAGAGGTTGCAAAAACCAGAGAAAATGTATTATAGAAAGAAATAGAAAGTCTGACCCGTCTAACCTAGCTCAGATTAAGGAAAGGATGAGCAAGAAGCACTAACGGGAGTGTGTATGACTGAAATTCACAATGCGCTGGAAGCCTCCGAGTTATAAGAAGTAGAACTAACAAGTGTTTGTAAAGATGAAAAATAATAACTATGAACAATTATTGGCTCCTTTAATCCCAGAGAGAGAGAGATACAAAATTGCCAAGGAAATGATAAGTTGAAGCAAGCACCACCTTCATGGAGATTGTAAACATGTTCCTATTGTTTTCCATTCACAGCAAGAAGACCTGAAACAAGATGTCAAATAAAGAGTCATGGTTGTCTCAGATACTCTTCTGCTTCAAATTGAAAATGGTCAAAATTTGGGTCCTGGCTAGAAAAGTTGAAAACAGCATTAAGGAAACAAAGTGTCTGATGAATTCACTGTACATTGAGTATTTTTAAAATTATCAGCAATCTAATACATACATACATACATACATACATATACATATACATATACATATACATATACATATACATATACATATACATATACATATATATATATATATATCATATGCTAGCCAGTAGATTAGGCTTATTGTTAACATCTTTTCCTTGCAAGCATATTATGAGTAAGAACTAAAATAATAAAATAAAAATACAATAAAGGCAAGACAGTTTCTAGCATTTTGGGAAAATGATTCAATTTCAAAACCAATAATAAGTTTCAAATGAGCTCTGAGATATTACTGATACATTCAACTTGTTCAGTCAAGCAGGCTATAGAAGAGATCTGCAATAAAATCACAAAGCAAACAACCGTGAGCACTATGACATAGAGCATAAGGACTTGTTTTTTTATGAGTGATGTGTAAGGGTATGAGCATAGATAGATCTGGAGACACTAATGTACAGTAAGTCTTGAATGAAAAACACTTGCTGGGCACAGAAACTTTGTAGATTTTAATGATCTGATACAGTTATTTTCATAGCATGGATTTACAATTAAATTTAAGACCAACTCCAATAATACTTACTTGAAAACTTTAGAAACTGAGACTAAACTCTTTTTTAACCACTAAAAGATGATTATCTTTCTCTTTATAACTCTTCATTTTGCCCACCCCCACAACTCTCTTCTGACAAATGTATCAAGTATCCCTATACCATGGAACATCACCCACACTTAATGTAGAAGCTATAAAATATTAGTGTTTAGTCTAGGGAAGATTTAAACATTTCAACTCATAAATGGCTTTTATAGATCCTGGCTTCCATGGAATTCATTTATTTTTTCTATTTTATAAATATTTCTTTCAGTCTACTCAAAACCTCTCTTGTAAAACATAATAAATTCTATGCATAATGCTATTTTAGTAATTAATAAGCTTGTGTTTTTATATACAGCTAAGTAAGTCTTATGTTTTATTCTGTCTTATTCAAAACTACTAAAATATGGAGATGCTGTTTAAGAAAATTCATTTCTATATGAAATTACATTTTTCTATATTTTATGGTAAACTTTTAATTTTTCTTTATACACAACAGTCATAATTCTTCAACTAAGATTCTTGATAACCTTTTTAAAGTACTCAAGAAAGGTTATCTTTCAAAAAAATTTTAAACAAAGTGGACTTGCAATTTTATAAACTAATAAATATGCAAACATTCACAGATAATGAGATCTGATTAATAAAGGCAACATTCAGATGTTTGGATACATGGATCCTGCCCTAAATATATAAAATGTGGTCCATAAGTTGTTTCAAAGAAAGGCATCTGAAATATGATGTAACATAGATAAGATCACATATCTTTATTGATTGCAAAAGTAGAATCATGGCAATTTTATACGTATTTAATAATGTTGTCTAGAAATGTCTGTATGTATACACCCTCAATGGTACGATTTATACAAAGATGTGAATATGTTGCTAATGTTATTTGTTTAGATAAACCCAAGCGAAATTTGGATTTGGAGAGTAGTTGTTCAAGTTCGGAGGACAGTACAGAAGTCATGTCATGTAAGTGATAAGGTGGACCAAGAATGAAAAGTATAGAACACAAGGTAGAAAGGGTATTCTAGAAATGGAAAGTAAAACAAACCATGAAAATCATGTGACCCAGGTGAGGTAAGGATCACAACATGGAGAAGTGATCAGACTCCCTAAGATCAAAGCAGTTATTCTGGAAGATGCTCACAAACATCAGGTCAACAATTCCATATTCTCTCAGTACACTAAGGTCCATGTGACAGTGCTGACTCAATAATCACAGGAACAGCCATTGCTAGTTGAAGAGTTCAGGATAGAAAAGGCTACAGATCAGTGGATAAAGATAAGACTGTCATCATGGAGAGCTGTTCTGCCAGAGCTAGATCCCAAGAACTTCAACTGGTTTCTATTGACAAAGAAGAACTGAAGCTTCAGGCAGCTGATGCAATGTGTGCTACAGGTGTCTGCAGGTCTGATTCCTTTGCCCAAGACAAATAAACAGAATTTACAACATTAATAGTATTCAATAGAGTCTCAACTGGAGAAAAAGGATTATGGACAGGGGACAATATTTTTCTATTTTTCCCCTAAGGGTGACTGTGAGTCCAGTGTCTATCTCAGTCATTTAAACCAAGATGCCAAGCCTTAGATTTCCTCATTTCTGTAATGAGGACTTCAATGTTTATACTTTCAATATTTGGGACTCCTCCTTCCAAAAAGAGATGTTACTTTTAAGGCAAAAATAACTCACACATCACAAATATGTGTCTGATCAATCATGTATATATCAATCATGGGATTGATAACTTTTCGATATTAGTGTGACTATAAGAATCTCCTTTCTTTTTGAGATGGACTTTTTACTGTTTTGTAGGTTGGCCTTGAACTAGTTATCCTCCTGCCTCAGTTTTTGGATTATAGGCCTATGTCATCAGACCTAGTTTGATTATTAGCATTTTCTAAGAGAATAAACAGAATAATCTATTACAATTGTTTCTCATTGATTTTCTCTGTAAAACTTAATATTAAACACTGTATGAGCAAGGGATATATTCATTCAGTATATTGCTTACACAGAGAGGAAAGACAAAAGGCCTTACCAAATGGTCTGAAGACATGAGCTTGTTGTGTCTTTAGGGAATGAGTTGCAGACCTATCATAACTGATACAAACAGTATGGACTCAGAGAAAAATCTTAAAGAAGGTTTTGCAGATGACCCTGAATTGTACTCCATGTAGAAACATCTTGTGGGTACAAATGCATTGATTGATAAATCTCCTAGTTTGATGGTAGGTATACTATTAACTAATCTGTTTGGATTCTAATAATTTTAATTCAATTATAATAAACTCAATCATTGCTATGGGAAAGTGCCATAAAAAATCAATCAGTCAAGAAACTCTGATTAAATATTGAGAAAACGAAAGTGTATTCTGCAGTGTTTGGGTAAAACATTCTTTAGATATCTGTTAGGTTCATTTAGCCTGTTAGGTCATTTGACTCTAGTCTTTCTCTGTTTACTTTTTGCCTGGGTGGCCTATCGGTTGGTGAAAATTGGATACTAAAGTCATCTATTCTTACTGTGTTAGGACAAATTTAGGCTTTAACATATAGTTGTATGTATTTTACAGAATTGGTAGACCTGGGTTTGGTGCATTTATATTTAGAAAGTGGGCACTAAAGGTATTGTTACTAGGAGCACTGTGATAATTGCTGTGATTTAGAAGGAATTACCTGGCAGTTATATGTGGGAGCAACTAAAAAGATAAAAGATGAGGGAAGTCTGGTATTTGAGACATATTAGTAAATTGTTGCAACCATCTTGCATCTAGGGAATATAGGCTTAAACACTTATTTATGAATGGAGCATAAAATCACCAGGACAATGTCAATACATTTTGAATTGGACTCTGCAAATTATTTGTCTTTTGGATGACTGTTATGTACAAAGAAGCAAAGATAAAACATAATGAAAAACTCGGCAAGTCTAGGAAAAGTAACCTTGGGAGATGGGAGCTGAGCAACAAGGTGAGGTCAGATATGCCAAAGGAATCAGGGAGAAGGAAAGGTTTTCTGTACTTAGTGCTTGCTATTAAAGAGGTGCTCTAAGTGTTTTAGGGAAACTACCCAAATGGAGCCCTTTATTTCATTGTATTTTATGATCAAGATGAGAAGACCTATTAGTCACAGGACATACATATTATAAGACTAGTAAAAAAACATCCTTTTACCAGCTTTCAAATTTGTAGCTATGCTGATGATTCATTGAATAATTTTGTTTTGTTTTTTTTATCCAGTAAGTCAATCACTTAACAGATCTGCTCCTCTTAGATTCTGAGACCTGTACTGGGTGCCAGAAATG